ACCTAACCCAGGCCACCCCGTTCGGTTCGGGAGGCTGGGACCAGCTCTCCGGGGACCCTTCTCACCCGCCTGGCTTGCCTGCTGCGGGGGGGATTGGATAGGCGGGCCGTGTTCCTGATCCTTCGGGCCAGAGAAGTCCTTGCAGTGGGAAGGGCCCCTTGGGCCCTGGGGCTAGGCAATCCTCCCTCTTCCCCCTGAAGCGGTGGGCCCCCTGTCCTGCCGTGAAAGAGCTGTGCGTGGCTCTTTGGGCAGAGCCCCCAGTCTGCCCCCACTGGTTGCCAAGAGGAAACTGGGGTGCTTTGCTCGGGGGGAGCCGCTGACAGAAAGCCTTGAATCCCTCTTTGTGGCCAAGGCTGGCACCGCTGGGGAGGCTGAGCAGCCCAACAATGTCGCTATTGAAGCCACGGGGAGCTGCCCTTTAAGCAGGGAGGGTGCCCCCTCCCTTTCCCATGGGGCTTTCATCCAGGCAGGGAAGAACAGCAACAGCCTTTCTTCTCCTGTTCCTCCTTCCCAAGACAGAGTGCTGGCTTTGGCGAGGGAGAAGTCAGGGCAACCATGGTGCCAACCTGACTCCACCCATCTGTCTGTCCTCCATGCCCATCCGGCAGGCCTAGGCTGGGGGCCCGCTGACCACACAAGGTCCCAGCAGCACGCTGCTTTGGCCAGCTTGCCAAGTGACCTCTTGAGATCAAGAGGGCTAGAAACCAGGGGTTGTGTTTTTAAGGTGGCAGTGGAAGTCAAGGGCACGAGGGAGGGAGTTGAACCAAGTTATGCTCAAGTTTTGGGGGAAAAGAGCTCACACATGCACATCCCACTCTTCCCTCTTGGGGTAAGCAGCAGGATGCACCGGGCCAAGAGAGGGTTAAAAGAAGAGTCAGCCAAAGAAATGGAAAGACATTACAAAAAGAAATCAGTCTTAATCTAGTTGATACCAACACCATTCTCTACACTGCCCCACACTTTTCTTAGAAAAGCCTGAAGACTTTAATGAGAAATTAATAACAGCAACATTGGAGGGCAATTTATCCCACAAAGAGGGCACTCCTAAGATTTTGTTTTTGATGTGTTTTTCTTTTTATAAATTTTAATTATGTATTTATTGTTTTAATTTGATGTAAACCGTCCAGAGTCCCCCATTGTGGGGAGATGGGTGAGGATAAGTCTATAAATAAACAAACAAATTTCTGCAATCAATCAGTCAATCAATCAACTTCTGTGGCTCCAGCATGCCGCAAAGTTTGGAATCCAAAGGGCAGTCGAGCCGCCTGCTTTCCTCCTGCTGGATTAGCCACACCCACCCAAGGTACAGCTCCTTTTCCTCAGCCAGAGGATTTGTGGAGGAAATCAGCATCTGCGGCAACACCCCCCACCAGGCCTCGTCAGTCACTGCCCCTTGGGAAGGCAGGCCTGGCCCTGAACCTCCAGGGAGCTACGCACTCAGGCGCAGCCTCTCCCTGGCCTGGCAGCGCAGACCTCAGCGCTTCTAAAGCTCTTCTAATCCTGTAGCTCGCTGCAGGTTTCCCACCCAACTGGGAAGAGGGCCTTTGAAGAGGGGGGGCTGTTCAAGAGCACACGTTCCCTGCTGCAAGAAAGGCATGTCATCAGGGCTGCAGTCTGTTCTGCAGCCAAGGCCCTTGGGGAACCACCACTATTTTGATTTTAAATGCGTGCTTTCCCCCTTCATTATTCTGATGGTCTTCTTCCTCTGCCTCAGTTTCCCCCTTGGTCCAGCACAGCTACAGGTGGCAGTTGCAGATATTCTTTCCCATATCTGGCATGTTTTCGTTTTAGAGTTTTCCGACAGATGGTATCCTTTCATTTTCATGCTTAAGGTTTGCCCCCGCTTCTGATCCTTGGCTGATGTTTGATAAATTCATTTTGCAGCTCCAGCTCCAGTCTGACTGTAAAATGTAAGAGTGGAAATGTAAAAACCTGAATACCTCAAATAGTTCCAGATGTTCAGGGATGCTAAAGACAAAGCAAGCAGCAGGTGCAGTACTTAACCAACCTATCCAGGGTGAAAGAGCAGCAGTTAGAAAAAACTTGGGGGCCCCTTCCTCCCCACCCCCACCCTGAGAACAGCAGTGCTGATGGGACTGGTGCCTGCTGGGAATTACTGGGCTGTCACGCTCCGCTGCAGGCGCAGGCCCTCCGCCCAGGAAAGTGGCGGCCCTGTCAAGCTGTTGGGCTAGAGCTTCCTCTACAGCCTCTCCTGGCTGAGGACAAAGACCCTCAGTGCTGAACAGACGTGATTCCTGGATCCGCCGAGGGAGGCATTTCTGGAAGTAACCGCAGCCCACGCACACCCTGGTCTGAATACCCCAATAACATGGGGGGGGGCTCTGCCAAATGCTATGACTGAATTCATCTGATACACAAAAGGGAACCCCTGTACCCTCTTCGGGTGAAGAGAAAGGAAGGCATCACGTTGAGGGCTCTTTGCCAGAGGATGAGGAGAAAGTCCAGTTGCAGAGCACAGTTCTTGGGGCCACAAAGTACCTTAACCTGGGCAGAAAGTGTTTCCCCACCCCAGATGTTCATATATGGCCAGGATCTGACGGGAGGTTATATTTAGCCCCCTTCCATGACTTCCAGCTTAGCTGTCAGACTCGGCAACAGCTGCTACGCTTTACTGGCTTGAAAACACGTAGCCTTTTCCAAGACGTTCGGTGGTTGGGTTCCCTTCCTTCTTTACAGCAGTCCTGGAAGAAAAACCATGTTCCGGTCTAGCTTGAGTATGCCCCCCAAATTATTTGGTTTTCACAGCTGCCTGCCAGGCACACAGAACAGAAGAGCTGCCTCTTGCAGCCAGTTGGGGCTTGCGGGTCAGGACTCAAATCCACAGCCATTGCCACGCTGCCAGGAAGAGGGAGCCGGGACCTGGCTCCCCACTGGGTTAATTCTCAGGGTGGGCTTTCGCTTATTAGTTTTGCCTTGGCTGGGGCTTTATTTAAAGTTGGCAGGGGGTCACGTTTGTTTTCCTTGAATGGGGAGGGGTCCGTTAGACAAGGCTGTGCCTCCAGATGGGAAGGAGACAGAGTCCAGCCTCAGACATTTGACACCCAGAGCCCCCTCCTCCAGCTGCTCACTGAAGCCAAGGAGAAAAGGACCTGCCAACATCTGTAGACCGGAAGCCTCTCCTGCAAAAGGCGGCCTTCCTCTCCCAGCGGCGCCCACCATTCTCTGAGCTGACGCGACGCACCGGCCAGGCCACGCGGCTGGGTTCACACGCGTATGCGGCTAAATCAGAAAAGGGCGAGGCGGCTTGCGGCCCAGCGCGTTGTGGGAACCCAGCCGCGGTCTCAGCAGGTTGTGCGAATTCAGGCCGCGCGTTGGTTCAGGAGATGGCAGGGATCCATCGCGGCCTGCCTGACGGGCCACTCTGGAGCTTTTCAGCGAACCCTCTCGCGACAAAACCGCGGCGGCGGCGGCGG